AGCGCCAACGAGCAACCCGGTAAGTCGGTCGACGACCGTAACCCTCGTCTAACTTGCAATGTAATAAATCGGCCCGAACGACCTCTTTCGCCACTTTCGAACGACAAATCCGACCAACGTTCGTGGTTTATTTACTATTCACGCACGACCGAGTGTAGCGAGAGTCCGTCCTGCAGACAGGTCTGGATTGTTTGCGTTGTTTGCGAAGTAGTTCCGGCGGCGCCGCTGACACCATCGACCACCGAGGAGAGCGTGGCCGCGAGCACCTCCCTCCCAGCGACCATGAAGAGGAACGGGGCGGCGACTCAGCTGCAACGGCTTCCGGGCATCGAGCCGATATCCGGCCACGACGTGTCCGGGGGATGGCTCTGAGAAGATCCGACCGTCGCCCCGCGGCGACGTATCAACCATCGGGACGTAACTCGCGCGTGAATGGAGTTCCGAAAATCAACGAAAGCTGGGACGACGACGACGACGACATCGATCGAGGCATCGTGGTCGTCGTGGCACACGCACAATGATGCCTTTCGCCGGCAAACCGATTTCGCCGTGACAAACAAACTATAGAGATATATATATATATATATATTATTATGTAAATGTATATTATTAATAAGCGACGTCGCCCGTGAATCTCGAGCAACATCGTCGACCCATCGAAGATCCCCTGTTCCCTTCAATGTTTCGAGGACGTAACGCGAGGAGGAGAAGTCCAACTTTGATACGCGCCAACTTTCTCGTTTTTTCCTTCTCGGGAAAGGAGGGATTAACTTTCGCGGCGCTTCATGTCGCGAAAAACCTACGTCGCGAAACCCAAACTTTTTTCGAACAACGCGTTAATGCGTATTTATGAGGGGGGAGAAAGAAGAGGGGGAGAAAAAAAAAATTTTCCTCTCCTCGAGAGAAACGTTGTTAAAACGTGCTCCCCCGTCGTTGAAAACTTTCTTCTCGGGCCGATTTATCGTACCTTTCTGACGGCCATTTTGCGAAAACGAACGAAAGTTTCCAGCGACCTCGCGCCATCCAGAGTTAATCTCGTCTCGAGTGTTGCCACCGATGATTTTGTACCACGTCTTATCGCATACTATTACTATACTGTTACTATACTAACTAACTGCTACTACTGCCAGAACGGGAAAGGGCAATCGGGTCGACGACGAGGATCTAATCTAGTCACCAGTCTAGTCGAGGAGCGAAAAGAAGAGGATCACGACGATCGGTCGCGTTGTTGCGTTTACCTTTCAAAGGACAATTTATTAGATTAACTTTGGAAACTACTTGTGGATTTGCGATACGTCGAATTTATAATCGCGTTGTTATAATCGCTTCAGGAAGCTGGTCTACTGAAGATAGGGAATTTTTCTTTTTTTTTTTTTTTTTTTTTTTTT